CAGAATTTAAACCCTAATACTGTTCCCTCCTCCAAAGTTGCTTTCCACTGCCTTTTTCAAGGTTGAAATCTTTAACTTCCTAATCCAGACAAACATTCCAAAAAAACTTTACTGTGATAAAATACTTATAGCAAAGCTTTTGCCATTTTAACCATTCATTCTTCAGTGTGCAGATCTGTGGCATCCGTTGCACTTATGGTAACAACCCTTGAGAGCATTTGTTACCAAAATTTTTCCATGACCTCAAACAGAAACTCTGTAAGGGCCAGGCATTTCTTCTCTATTGCCCTGTGCAAAGCAGCTGGTGATTTTTGTAGCCTTTGGAAACCAGAGAGTTGGTCCCCTTCAATTCATAGCGTCTGAGAGGCCCAGAAACTTGTAACATCATCCTCACTATACACTGCAGAGAGCTAGCGCCCTCCCACAGTGAGCGCGGACACCATCCCTTTTAAAAACCACCTCCCTGTTGGGCAGGCAACCCACAGTACGCGGTTCCGGTTCCCCTTGGAGTTCCCATCGCTCGGGTGAATCTCTGGTGCCACCAGCCGGCAAAAGTGAGAATAGGCCTGGTACCGTCATGAAGTTGATTCTGACTCCAAGCGATACTACAGAGGTTTTTGAAGCCATAAATCTTTCTGAGCACAGAGAGCCTCATCTTTCTTCTGTGGATCGACCAGTGGGTTTGAACCATTGGTTTTGCGCATACCAGCACCAGGGCCTCTTCCTTGTTGCCCAGTGGATTCCTGTTCACAGAGAACTACTGTGTCTCTGTGTAGAACTTTGCCCCATGTGGTTTTCAATGCCTGATTTTTCATTAGTAGATTGTCTTCTGAGGTGCCCCTAGATGGAGTCAAACCTCCCACCTTTGGGTTAGAATGGACTACCTACCAAGAGCATATAGGAGTTCTAGACTTGCCTCTGTTTCTAGGTGCAGTTCCATGCAGGGCCCAGCAGCCTGTGGGCTACCAGGTGCCCTGTGTCCCAGGACATCAGCACAGGCTCCCAAAGTGAACAGACCCTGTCAAACAAGTCTGCCCTTTGGCATTCTTTTTCAAAAAATCATTTTGTTGGGAAAGGCTCTTACAAATCTTATTAACAATCCAACATTCAATGGTGTTAAGCACACTTGTACAAATGTTGCCATCAAAATTTCTAAAACAATTTCCCTCTATTTGAGCCCTTGGTATCAGCTCCTCTTTTTTCCCCTCTCTCCCACCCTCCAACCTTTGTGAAATCTTGATCAATTATATGTTATTTTTCTTTCGTGTCTTACACTGTCCAAGGCCTCCCTTTACCCACCTGTGATGGGTTCCCCCTTTCTCCTTCTTCCCTTTCCCCACCATCCCCCTACCCTCATGATAGCACTACTCCCACTACTGTTCCTGAGGGTTTTATCTGTCCTGACGTCCATGTGTCCAGAGCCCCTATCTGTACCAATGTGTGTACTCAGGCCTAGCTGGCCTTGTAAAGGAGAAATGAGTCAAGGTAGTGGGGTATGTGAGGTAGTTACATAGCTGCTGTCAACTTGAGACTCAAGAGTGAAAGAGTGGAGTTTAGCCTGTCAACCAGGTTGCAGCTTGACGACCTCATTTGAAGGTGCTACGTAGATAAATAGCTCCTCGCTGGAGGTGGGGCACACACACTTTCTGCTTCGTATTCCTGATGACAAGACACATGGAGCTATGCTAGAGCCCTAGAGCTGGAAGAGCCACGTGGAGACCCACACCAGCGCTAAGATGCTTCCACCGCCAACTGGATCCACAAGACTTTCCACCCACTGGCCTGTGATCTTCCTGCATTCAGTGTCATTGTATGTGCTGTATGAGTCAGAAGAAGAATTTGTAGACTGGTAATAGACATATGGGTTAATATCGGATTTATGGACTTAACCTGGACTTGGTTGGGATGTTTCCTTAATGTACAATTTACATAAAGCTCTTTCTTATATACATATGGCTGTCCATGAATTTGTTTCTCTAGTCAACCCGAACTAACACAGGGGGGTAGGAAGTATTCAGGAACTAGATGAATGATGTATTTTGTCAGTGCTATACTGTACTCTGGTTGAATCTTACCT